CCATTGGAAGCCACAGTGATGCCAACGTAAGCGATGATGAGTTTGCGTCGTTTGCATCCTTTGACCAGCCTCCCGCCACAACCACATCCGGTGCAGCTGAGACGACAACAACGGCGACTGAGGGGAATGCGCAAGAAGAAGCAGCAGCAGCGGAGGAGGAGGAGGAGAAGAAGGAAGGCGGGGATGATGCGACTGGTGACGATGATGAGTTTGCGTCGTTTGCATCCTTTGACCAGCCTCCCGCTACAACAGAAGCAGCTGAGACGCCCACCATGACAGCGGTCACTGAGGAGAATGCGCAAGAAGAAGCAAAGGAGGAGGAGGAGGAGAAGGAGAAGGAAGGCGGGGATGGTGTGACTGGTGGCGATGATGAGTTTGCGTCGTTCACATCCTTTGACCAGCCTCCTGCCACAATCACAACAGAAACAGCTGAGACGACAACAGCAGCCACTGAGGAGAATGCGCAAGAAGAAGAAGCAAACGAGGAGGAGGAGGAGAAGGAAGGTGATGATGATGATGATGAGTTTGCGTCGTTTGCATCCTTTGACCAGCCTCCCGCTACAACAGAAGCAGCTGAGACGCCCACCACAACAGCAGCCACTGAGGAGAATGCGCAAGAAGAAGAAGCAAACGAGGAGGAGGAGGAGAAGGAAGGTGATGATGATGATGAGTTTGCGTCGTTTGCATCCTTTGACCAGCCTCCCGCTACAACAGAAGCAGCTGAGACGCCCACCATGACAGCGGTCACTGAGGAGAATGCGCAAGAAGAAGAAGCGGAGGAGGAGGAGAAGAAGGAAGGCGGCGATGATGAGTTTGGTGATGATGATGAGTTTGCGTCGTTTGCATCCTTTGACCAGCCTCCCGCCACAACCACATCCGATGAGACCCCAACCTCCACAGTAGCCACAGCGGCCACTGAGGAGAATGCGAAAGAAGAAGAAGAAGAAGCAAAGGAGGAGGAGGAGGAGAAGGAGAAGGAAGGCGGGGATGGTGTGACTGGTGGCGATGATGAGTTTGCGTCGTTCACATCCTTTGACCAGCCTCCTGCCACAATCACAACAGAAACAGCTGAGACGCCCACAGCAGCCCCTGACGAGAATGCGCAAGAAGAAGCAGCGGAGGAGGAGGAGGAGAAGAAGGAAGGCGGGGATGATGCGACTGGTGGCGATGATGAGTTTGC